CCTGCAAATACTCCACACTTTCATTTGTCACCTTATTCACAATAACCAGGCCAGTCCTTACTTATGTGATCATTATTATCTCATTTCTCACAATAGTAGAATTTTGTTTTTTTACCTTGAATATGAATGCCTTTCAGCATGAATGTGACATTATCGTTTTGAACACTTCACAGACATACGTTTTGAACACTTGTTTTTTCTTTAAATACGCCTTTCCACATTGTTGACACATGACACATAATCTGCATGCTTTGCTTCAATGTGCAACCACGATGTATTATAAATCCTGGTGGTGCAAAAAAATGTAATGGATGCATCTGAAATAGGAATTGGTCTCACTAAATCTGACATAGAGTTTTGCAGTATAATCTGAAGCCACTAAAATTACTTATATCTGCACACTTTTAGAGCGTTACGGAAACTGTTTTCCACAAATGCCCTTTATCTTCAAAAACCAACGTTTACCATGCACTAACAGTATGTCTGCCATATTTTTAAAACTTATTTTAACAACACTTAATAGGGACTAATAACATGTAATATTTCCCAAAACATAGTTAATGAGTGTTTCTGATTTTAGTTCAGCTTATGAACCACAAATAATGAAACAATCTGGCAGGCTCATGCTGCAACAGCAACCAACTGTCAAAAGAAAAAAGGAAGCAGAGCAAAAGTGCATCTGATAACATGGAATAATAACTCAGAATTAATTTAATAGGCTCGAAGCCAACATAAAACAAATAGGATCCTTTTTTTATTTTATTTTTTTCCTTTAGGGGTGCAACGATACTCGTATCGGTATTGAACCGTTCGATACAGTGCTTTCGGTTCGGTACGCATATGTATCGAACAATACAAAATTTTAAATTTATTTTATCAACTTTTCTTCTGACGATGCTGTCTGTGTTGAGCGCTCAGTGGATCTGCGTTCGACTACTCCGCCTAGGCTGCACTGTCGAGCGCAGATCCACTGAGCGCACCGCAGATGAACGCTGATATCACTAGTGGGAACACAACATTTACGCCGACAGCATCCTAGTGCAAAGACAAGTGGAAGCAGACAAAAACAACAAGCAGCATGCTACAAACGTTACCCGAGTCATTTAGACAGCCGTTAGCACAGGATTCTCCTTATGGGGACCTGATATGTTTAATATGCTGCTGAGAATATAGCCCAGAAGAAGCGTATAGTATAGCTTTTATTTTGGAAAGAGACATTTCTCTGTAATAAACTCTCTTTTCCAAAGATGAGGGATTTCTCCATCAGATAGATTTATTTTTTTTATTTTGTTGTTTCAGCAACATTAAATTTAAAAACTGTACTTTTGAGTTAAAATATATATTTATAATTTTAATAAATGACAAATTAAAAAGGCATGAACGTTTTTTTGTATCAAGAAAATATCGAACCGTGACACCAAAGTATCGAACCGAACCGTGATTTTTGTGTATCGTTGCACCCCTACTATCCTTGTATCCTTCGCATTTCATATCTAAACAAATTGCCGTACAGACATGCATGTTCTTTAAAGCTTAAACCACTTTACTCCCAACCAACCATTTCACCAATTTGCAATCGATGTGTATTATAAATTAATTAGGTTAAGGAGAAGATGCTTATCACAGTACTACAAAGCAAACTATTGACCAGTTTGCTCTGCGGTGCAAACAGGAACAAACGATGTTTGAGATTCTGAATACTTTAAACAATTTTCTTATAGAAAGAAACAAGTACAAACTGTATACATCATTACATTACATGTCAAGCCTGCAGGCAATAAAGAAGATTGGATCTTATACTGTGTATTGACAAATTGGAAAGTCACTTATGCAGATTCATTGTAGGCTCTATAAAGACTTCCCACATAACTCTAAATCAGACTTTATTCACAAGTGGTCACCCCAACCACACTGAAAGCACTTCTCAGTGCAACCTCCAAGGGATTTGTGTCTCCTCGAAACGTGAACGTGTAAACCACTACACCACAGAGCCACCAGAGCTAAAGCATTTGATAAATATACTGAGTACTTCAGCATAGTCTTGCCACAATGTTGGTCTAACTTTGATAAAGTATAGTGAAAAATATTGATATTCAATACAGTAGTTTTCACACAGTGTAGAATAAAGAAAGGCATGCATGTGCTTAGGTCTACTACAATATACATATATATAACTGAGAACTGGTTCCCAGTTATTGGTTCCCACATTCCTAATCCTAATATTTAACGTCTCAGTGTTATTATTATATTTATGCAATGTGATGCTTCCTGCCTCTGTGTTGCTACACTATGAGATCATCTTTTAATCTGGAATTCAAAAGGAGTAACAGTTCTCTCCCTCTCGGTCAAACCAGCTCCTCTGAGTTCCTTTTACTAAAGAGCTCATTCCATCTGGCTGTTCTCCTGGATGTCATACTTTTGCAAAACTTCAAGACAAGGACATTATAACAAAGAGAAGCTAGGAACTATTGAAAATTTGAGTTATGACCCAAAAGACTGCAGTGCTGTTGTAATGTCCTTGGCTATGCTGAGTATCTACACCCTGGGCCCATAGCCCAAATGGTGTTGCCGTGATGTAATGCTGCCCAGTGACTTGTTAAACAAACACACAGCTTTCAGTGTTTTTCCTCTAAAGACTGATTTGACTTTGCATTGACCAAACCACAGCAGTTTCTGCATTTTCTTATCACCAAAGCACATGGGACAGTGCTCTTTAGCAGCGCTAGGTGTGATTATGAAACCAGTACTTTGATGCTGTTTACAGCCGGTATTACCCCTCCCTCAAGTCTGTTCCACATCCACACAGCCTGCACTGCATGCCAAAAATGTCACAACACAACCCTGCATATGTGTAGTAAAATTTAGAGATTTAGTTGCATAGCGCTTGCACTTTTGTTGCATTAGCCCTTTAAACAGCTGCATTTGTTTAATTTAGCTTATTTACATGACTGTGGACAGCTAAAAAGTTGGGATAAACACAAGAGGACAAATCAAAACTGAACTCAAGGAAGAATAATCAGCTTCCTCTTTCAAACTTAAAGCTAATGTTAGTATTTTTGCAACAGCCGCATTTGAAGCTGCCTTCTGCTTCTGCCTGTTGTGCTCAGAGAGTTGTGCAACAGAGAACGCGCCTGACCATGAGACCATTTTTTAGTAAAACAAAACCAAACACTGGTCTTACATAGACTTCTTGAGTGATTTACTGACTGATGATGTCATTCTGGCACTCTCGCAAACATCTTAAACTTGGGAGGCAGGATAGTCAAGAGTTTAAGGCTGTCGTAACGATTTCTTAAAGGAACACCCATTAGTAGCTCTGGGAGTGCATGTCAATTCGCCCCACTTTGGGATTTCCTGTCAGGCAGTTATTTTGGCCACTCTTTCCTTTACCTTAACTTTGGTGTAAACAACCAGCAATTTCCTTTGTGTTTTTCAGTTTTAGGACAATTACTAAAAAATGCTAAACATGCAATAATGCTCAACAACAATGAGCACCACCTAAAGAAATATCAGAGGCATTAACAAAAACATTTCATTCAGAATGTTCTCCTTCAATCATTCCAGTATGCTTGAGTGAAGACAGAAACACTAGTCAATCTAAACTGTGCCGTTTTCAGTTCCCTATTTAGGAACTGTGGCTGTAACTAAACTTGTGACCTACCCAGCCAATAAGTCACAACATAAAGCAACACTAACAGAGCTCACAATGAAGATTTGGGAGGTGACATGAGAAAGTTGCACAAAGTTCAACGGCAGCCGAACTTTCCCTTTTTCCACAAATGTGGAAAAACAGACGTGAAAATCAAACGGCAGCCAAGCTTTTTTGTTTCTGGTCATGGAAAATAACTTTAAGCCACTGCTTTCTGCAGGCACTGACGGCATGCAGGCACTGACGGCATGCAGGCACTGACGTGCACTTCACACCCTCAGCATTACAGTTTAGATTTATCATTTAACATGGCACTGTGGACGGTAAATAAAAGATTGTAGCTACAGTTTACCAAATAAGGGAATTACAGATTTTGGAGAGATGCTGTTTACACAATTCCTCAGAAGAGTGTATTAGTTTCTCCCAGGAACTTTTAAGAACAGCATGACTAAAAAAACCAAAAGTGATTGTTTAAGCATTTCCACTTAAGCCAAAACAAAACTTCCACCAAATCTTGCAATGTCATTTCAGGGCAAGATATGGCGTGCAGGACCGGCCTAATGACACCACGGCTTTAATGATGTAGATTCGGGTTTGCTACTTTTCTAAATAAGCACAATCCTTCCTCTGGTTAAACTACTGCACAAAGTCCATCCAATGTAATGACGATAAATTAATGTTAAATGGGTTTTCAGTTGTTATCTCATAGACACTGCCCAAGGGCTGCCTAAGGACAAGTTTTATCAATTGCACACACTCATGCTGTTCATAAATCGCCCCCACAAACCTCATGTACATCATGCTGTACACTGAGTCATACAGTAAATTAACTTGTGCTTTGTGTGCATATTAATATAAGACCCCCAACTGTCACAACAAGGATGCTCTTCAAAAACCTATCAGGAGATGTATTGACAGGAATAATCACATGATGCACTGAGTGCCTCGAAAATTGAAGCACTCAGCGAAACAGTACCTCTTTGCTCAACTCTAGCTGCTATTAGCCCCTACATTAAACCATAACAACAACACATGAATTACTGTTTGTGTCTCGTCCTGCACTAAACAGGGAAGTTCTGCATCGAGAATATGCTTTGTCCTGCTCCTTGGTTTCATGATGAGCTTTAAAAGTAAAAGGAAGACTGTCCTTAGCATTTACAATAAATCTTTTTTCTTTTTTGACACAGACCTAACATGAAACTTTCTGCAGCTGCAAAGCAGTGCAACTTTCTGGGTCTTAATAAAGTTGAGTGTGACATAATGGGCTGCTTCTGGGATTACAGGATGTGTCAGTTGACTTACACCCTAGTTCCACGCACGTTACACACGAGTGAGCTATTAGAATACCTACCAGCTTTTTGTTTTTACCCTCATCCTCGCTGGATTTCTTTTTAGAGGGCTTATTTGGATCCTCCCCACCGCTGGCTTGATCCATTGCAGCTTTAAGTTAATTTCCCTTCCAGAAACGCCTAATGCGACGTCCTCAAACGCTGACAAACTCCACCGGTGGGCTATTTCAACACACTTTTTACTAGAAGCTCTCCAAGTTATGTGTTTTCAAAATTCATTCCGTTTAAAAGGCTGAAGAACAATTTCAAGTTTCAAATAGCATCCAAAAGAGTCGAGGAGTTTGCTTGAAGAAGAGGTGTGGTAGGGTGGATACACGTTCTCCTCGGCGTAGCAGTATGTCAGCTCACACGCGGGGGAAAAGCTAGAAAGTAACACAAGAGTGTGTAAACAACAACTGATTAGTCCAACATATTCACCCGGGTTTTAAGTTTCAACAAATGCTTTGTCTCCACGCGTGTTTCCATAAGCAGCAGTGTTTAGTATGCAGAATGCATTCAGTAAAGACATCTAACCGTGAACGGTAAAACAGATGTAAACAGATCCATCTGAGTTAGCTATAAATAGCCATCAATTATTTTTATATTTTTCTTCTAAAGTAGCATTTAATTGACCCCCTGTTTATGGGAACAGGCGGCTAAATTGTTTCAGAAAGCAAAGTTACAACCGTGTAACTTAGCAATAGAGGAGTAATAGAGAGACAAAAACGTTTCAGGCTGCCCTGACAGTTTTTAACGTGCCTCGTCAAAGCCACTATTTAACTGTCATTAATCAGAATATATACACAATTGCTGTACTATAGGGAAATCACCGTTGTTCTCTTGCTTAGAATACTTTACACTGCTGTACACAAGCGAGCAATGGGCGACCACTGCCCGGCAAGCACTGTTTATTTTAGCGGACACAGTAGCACACCAGCACGTATGAAACCATATCAAATCCAAACGTGAAGATTAAATAAAAGAAAAAGAAAACTAAAAAAAAATAAAAATCCCATCCAGGGCTTACCTTTACAACCAAACGTGAATACCAGGCCCACGGAAATCCCGCCCACCCGTTTTTGACTGGACTTTGAAAGACTGAATGACGTAGAATTCAAGCTACTATTGGGCAGATGTCTTGGCAGTCACGAGGTCGGCGTGGCGTCGGTTGTGACGGAGAGGTCGCACCGATTTCACACAACGTGGATGGGGTTCAGGCAGTTGTAAGAATAGATCTGTAACGGAGGCACCGTGTGAGCGGCTGCGCGCGGATAGGAAGCAGGGCGGGAATCTGCGTCTGGAAAACACACCCAGTGTGTATACGTGTGCGCGTGTGTGTTTATTAATATTAGCACACACACACGCAACTTTTTGTGTCTGCAGAAACAGCTGGTGCCATTGTTACCCAACTATACAATGGAGTGCATCATATAGGCCTGGCTGTTTGCGACTGCATAAAGACAAAAGGTAGATGCAGATGTGCGTTTGAGGAGAAGACCCCAGGCACTAAAATAAGTAATTAATCAGGTGTAATATCTTTAATTGGTGGGCCAGATCCCAATTCTGAATTTTATGTTCATATAAAATTTATATTCACATTTTCCCAATGCAGGCTATTAAATCTCTTTTACACAGGGACCGCTACAGCAATTCTCTAAAAACTGACTGTAACAATTATTACATTTTTCAGTGGAGTGTCTACTATATTTAAAAAAGAAAAAAAGAAGAAGAAGATATGGACTCTTAAATAAAACAACGGCTCCATATAAGGGGAAATAAGTTGTCAGCAGCAGATACTAGAAATTCTCAAAGGGAACTGTGAAACTTTTATGCCTACTGTAATAATACATCATTTAAAGGTCAATCATAGCAAAATATTATAAATTAGAAACATAAAATAATTTAGCGCAGACTTTTTTTTAATATAAGTATTTATTAAATGAATGCCCTGGGTTTACCCAGAATATATGTTTTGCAGCATTAGAACAGGTATGTCATTCCAATACCTACTGTTATATAATTATATTATGGCTTAAAGTTGCCATTTTATTATATGTGATACTATATTAAAAAGTACCTTTGCATCTCTGAGCTTGGGGACACCCAAGCTTGGGACACCAGATTGAATGATGGGCAACAGTATGGCTAACATTTCAAACAGACTTAACTGAACTTAACTGAAGACACTGAAAGAGCTTGTCAGCCAAGTGATAAACAATCACAACATACAATTTTGCCTTTTTCTTCAGAAGACAGGGGCAGGATGAATTGTTGCTATATAT